AGAGGATAAAAAGTAATTTTTTCAATTTTAGTTGATGACTGACGACAATATTACAAGTAAAAAATTTCAAGTTGAAGCCATATCATAGAATGTACCAAAGCACAGAAAAACAAGCCTGAAACAGAGAGAGAAAGTGCAAGGTTTACATACAGAGAGAGAAAGTGCAAGGATACATAGAAAGGAATATTTGGATTTGAATGTTGCACAAAGAGGCTTCCATAGAAATATTTCATTACTGAGATGGGAAAATTCTAGTGACTACGGAAGGAAGAAAAAAAAAAGGTGGGCAGAACAGATGAAGAATGAGGATTGTGATGATTGCAGGTGCTCTAGATTGATCTGAAAAATGTTGGGCAATCTTTGGTTTTATCATGACATGTAAATATGCACCCACATTTGAGAGGCGGAGGGAAAGGATGGGAGGAGAAGAAAGATGAGGGAACAGAGATTGTAACTCACCTACAAACCTAACTGTGGTATTTTTATTTCCTAGCCACAAAATAGTTGCATTTTCATTTAATTCTGGTGGTAAAGGGAGTTGTATTGAAAAAAAAGAAGTCTTCTTTATCGCTGAAATACTGGTAAAGTCAGATAATAGCATAAAATATTTTTTGTATTTTGCCTGCTAAATGAAAAATAAAAGAAAATGTTGAAGAGGTTAACATATTTCTAACAAAGAACAAATGAGAGAAGAATCCAATGAAAATCCTGCTCAATAATCCAAGACCAAAAGAGGTACAATAAATTCTGGCACAAGGCCAGATTGGGATAAACAAGAAAAATTATATCACATTGAGTTTCTAAGAAGATTTGTTTGGTTTGAAATCCAACATTGAAAAGTTTTGCTTTTTATAGAACTTGAATACTCAGTATTGTTATTAATGAGAAATATGGCACAGGATTTCTTTTAACCCAGATTGTCATTTGTTTGGGTACATATGCTAAATCAAGAAAACGTCACAAAAATCAAATCAAAATGAAAACAGATTAATTTCCAGGACGGGGAGAACTAATTGTCAATTTTTTTTTTAAAAAGTTTCAAACTGGAACTGAAGGTAAATAGAAGATTTTTGTTGCCAGATATTTTATTGAATGACTAAGAGTTCACTAGACAAGAATCTTGTGAGCTGATTCATCAAATCTCATAGTGAATCATAACAGACAAGAACTTTACTATGTAAAATTGGAAAAAAAAATCTGTGTCAGTGCAGATAATTGAAGATTTGAATGGGGAGAAAGAGACAGAAAACAGGAGGTAATCTGAGGCTAAGAGAGAGAAAGTCAGGAAAGAGATAGAGAGAGAGAAAGTCAGGAAAGAGATAGAGAGAGAGAGAAAGAGAAAGTCAGAGAGAGAAAAGAGAGATAGAGAGAGAAAGTCAGGAAAGAGAGAGAGAGAAAGTCAGGAAAGAGATAGAGAGAGAGAAAGTCAGGAAAGAGATAGAGAGAGAGGAAAGAGAAAGAGAGGAGTCAGGAAGAGATAGAGAGAAAGAGGAAAGAGATAGAGAGAGAAAGTCAGGAAAGAGATAGAGAGAGAGAAAGTCAGGAAAGAGATAGAGAGAGTCAGGAAAGAGATAGAGAGAGAGAAAGTCAGAAAGAGATAGAGAGAGAAAGTCAGGAAAGAGATAGAGAGAGGAAAGATAGAGAGAAGAAAGTCAGGAAAGAGATAGAGAGAGAGAAAGTCAGGAAAGAGATAGAGAGAGAGAAAGTCAGGAAAGAGATAGAGAGAGAGAAAGTCAGGAAAGAGATAGAGAGAGAGAAAGTCAGGAAAGAGATAGAGAGAGAGAAAGTCAGGAAAGAGATAGAGAGAGAGAAAGTCAGGAAAGAGATAGAGAGAGAGAAAGTCAGAAAGAGAGAGAGAGAAAGTCAGGAAAGAGATAGAGAGAGAGAAAAAAGAGATAGAGAGAGAGAGGAAAAGTCAGAAAGAGATAGAGAGAGAAAGTCAGGAAAGAGATAGAGAGAGAGAAAGTCAGGAAAGAGATAGAGAGAGAGAAAGTCAGGAAAGAGATAGAGAGAGAGAAAGTCAGGAAAGAGATAGAGAGAGAGAAAGTCAGAAAGAGATAGAGAGAGAGAGAAAGAGAGGAAAGAGATAGAGAGAGAGAAAGTCAGGAAAGAGATAGAGAGAAAGAGAAAGAGAGAGAGAGAGAGAAAGTCAGGAAAGAGAGAGAGAGAGAAAAGTCAGAGAAGAGAGATAGAGAGAGAGAAAGTCAGGAAAGAGATAGAGAGAGAGAGAAGAAAGATAGAGAGCAGAAAGAGATAGAGAGAGAGGAAGAGATAGAGAGAGAGAAAGTCAGAAAGAGATAGAGAGAGAGAAAGAGAGAGAGAGAGAGAGAAAGCCAGGAAAGAGATAGAGAGAGAGAAAGTCAGAAAGAGATAGAGAGAGAGAAAGTCAGGAAAGAGATAGAGAGAGAGAAAGTCAGGAAAAGAGATAGAGAGAGAGAAAGCCAGAAAGAGAGAGAGAGAGAAAGAAAGGAGAGAGAGAGAAAGAGGAAAGAGAGAGAGAGAGAAAAGTCAGGGAAAAGAGATAGAGAGAGAGAAAGTCAGAAAGAGATAGAGAGAGAGAAAGTCAGGAAAGAGAGAGAGAGAGAAAGTCAGGAAAGAGATAGAGAGAGAGAAAGCCAGGGAAAGAGATAGAGAGAGAGAAAGTCAGGAAAGAGATAGAGAGAGAGAAAGTCAGGGAAAGAGATAGAGAGAGAGAAAGTAAAGGAGAGAGAGAGAGAGAGAAAGTCAGGAAAGAGAGAGAGAAAGGGAAAGAGGAGAGAGAGAGAAAGTCAGAAAGAGATAGAGAGAGAAAGTCAGGAAAGAGAGAGAGAGAAAGAGAAAGAGGAGAGAGAGAGAAAGTCAGGAAGAGAGAGAGAGAGAGAAGAGAGAGAGAAAGAGATAGAGAGAGAAAAGATAGAGAGAGGAGGAAAGAGAGAGAGAGAAAGTCAGGAAAAGAGAGAGAGAGAGTCAGGAAAAGAGATAGATTTGATAGAGATTTCAGGAAAGAACATTTTAAAACTGTTTCTTCCGGGAGAGAGAGAGAGAGAGTCGGAGAGAGAGAGAGAGAGAGAGAGAGCTTATTTCCCTCAATATCGGGATAGATTTGCATTTCCAGAACATTTAAAACTGTTTCTTCCTTTAGCTTATTTCCCTCAATATGTACAAGTCTAAAAATCAATTCTCTCTCCCTCTCAGGTAGCATCAAATCGTTTTCCCCAATAATAACTTGGCCCTTTAATCTATTATCTTCAGAGTTAAAATCACTTTTTCATCAGGTGTAGTAGAGAAATAGTTGGATTTGGTCTATAATAATTCTAATAACTCAGTCTCTCTGGCAATTCCAGTTGGTTGTTGGGAGAGAGGGTCATTTTGCAATTAATTCCAAGCAGTGATGAGGTCATCCAAGGAAAGGACCTTTCTTTAAGGTAGTTATTTGATGGAAATACTGACATCTGAAAAAGAATCAGAGATTCTTAAATATTCCTTCTAATGATCTCTCAACTAAATTTTCATGGTTACTAATTCAATGCTTTGAAATGTCCACAAATAGAAAACACTTCCAGATGTAATAATTATCTAAATGCATTTCCAACAAATTTCAAAATCAATAGAAAATAAGGACATTTTTTCTGGTTAAAATATTTTGAAGTAAAAATCCTGAGAAGTGTTGAAAAAAAAAAAGTCTACTAAAAGAAGTTGCTTGACATTGCAAGAATTTTTCAGTTGATTTGGTAACAAAGCCCCAATTCTTTCAACCAAAAGCTATCTATTTTTTTTTTAATGGCTTTATGACAGAGTCAAGATGACATTATAAAAATAACAAAAAGAGAATAATATCTTTAAGGCATTGGTTTGTCAAACTGTCTGCAGCAAAGTTTTTTCTGGTCGTTGGCAACATTAGGAACCTTAGATATAAAAATCATTCATAAGTATTTTTGCTTTTTTTTTATTTGATTAGTTTAAAACTTTTGTGAAATTTACAATGAAAAAACCTAAAAAGCCGAGAGAGAGAAAAAGAAGAAGAGTAAGGAGAGAAACTTATTGTTCTGATTATAAATCATGAAATAGTAAATGAAAAAAGTTCAAATTGAAATACGGACTTTTTATCTTTTCTTACATTGAACTTTTATTGATTTGCCTTTTTGACAAAAAAGTTCAGCAAGAAATTGATCAGACATACTTCATATTAAGTTTGGTCAATTTAATCAGTTTCTAAGTGTTTTCCATTTCTGAGAAGCAGCAAAGATTTCTCTTGATATAAAATTTGAAAGGCTTTAATCAGTTTTTTTTTTATTCATCTTTAAAAAAGTGTCTATCTTCATTTATTTATAAAGCAGATAATTTGGATTCAGTCAAAATGGTTACTGCTGAAATTTTATACAATTGAAAATTTCTCCATGTTTTTATAATTCTTTGAAAATCAATTCTTAGTAAAGATTCCAAGTGTTTTGCTTTCTTTTAAACACTCGACCCCAAAGGCCATTAATATTCTTTCTTTCTTTTTTTTTTTTTTTTTAAGCGTTTCACCCCAAGCAAGGTGGGAAGAGAGAGTTGGAGCTAGAGCAAATAGGAGTGATAGATGAAAGGATGAAGAGAAGGATAGGGGATAGATCAGTGCATCTGGAGATGTCGATTGACATTACATTTGAACAGTTGAAGATTATAGCTATCAGAGAAACAGGAAGAGGGGAGGGAGATGAGATGTGCGAGGCATGAAGCTATTGGAGTAGAAAAGACGTCTACATTTAACAGTTTCAACAGTGAAAGGGTGAGTGAGATGCCAGCCTAGTTGAACGCTTAAAATGCTTTGTGATTGTTAAATGTCCAATGACATTATATCCCCACTTTTAATGTTAGACTCATGTCTTCATTTGATCCTTGGCACACTATTGTGGATAATATTTGTTTTCTAAAATTGTGGAAAGTCCATTGTTCTATATTTGGTCAACACTTGTAAAAAAAATGCTGAAAATATGAACGTGGGATCCAGGAGGGAAAAATATTGAGCTTTACTTGAAGGCTTAAAAATAGTAGCAAGCAAAATGTAGAGAAAACAAAGAGAGAGAGAGAGAGAGAGAGAGAGAGAGAGAGAGAGAGTGCAAGAGAGAGAGTGCAAGAGAGAGAGAGAGAGTGCAAGAGAGAGAGAGAGTGCAAGAGAGAGAGAGAGAGTGCAAGAGAGAGAGAGAGAGTGCAGAGAGAGAGAGAGAGAGAGAGTGCAAGAGAGAGAGAGAGAGAGAAGCAAGAGAGAGTGCAAGCAAGAGAGAGTGCAAGCAAGAGAGAGAGCAAGCAAGAGAGAGAGAGTGAGAGTGCGAGAGAGTGAGAGTGCGAGAGAGTGAGAGTGCGAGAGAGTGAGAGTGCGAGAGAGAGAGAGTGCAAAAGAGAGAGAGAGTGCAAGAGAGAGAGTGCAAGAGAGAGAGAGTGCAAGAGAGAGAGAGTGCAAGAGAGAGAGAGTGCAAGAGAGAGAGAGAGCAAGAGAGAGAGAGAGAGAGAGAGTGCAAGAGAGAGAGAGAGAGAGTGCAAGAGAGAGGAAAATGGAAACATTGAGAGCCCGAGAATGAGTTGGAGGATGGCGAGAAGATTACAATAAAAAATTCAGAAAGAGAATAAAATTGAAGTGACAGTAAAGGGAAAAGAAAAAAAATAGAGAGAGAGAGAGTGTGGGGGAGAGAGAATGATCCAAAATTCAAGTGAAAAGAATAGAGAGAGAGAAAGATATGACAAAAATGAATTTCTCAAGTTTTTTGTTGTCCTTGAAACTTGATTGCTTTGCGCAATTATTCTGATTTTATATAAATAAAAAAAGTTTTGCTTGGTTACATAATAACCATGTCAATATAAATTCTGTTTTGGAGGAACAAAAACATTAAAAAAAAAAAAAAAAAAAAAAATGAAAGAAATAAAGCAAATTGGAAAAAATGTTCTTTGAAAAGACAAAATGTTTGCCACAATTTTCAGTGAATTTGATTCTGCAGAATTCAGACACTAATCTGCTGTCATTAAAAAAGTCTGCATGCATTTTCCAAAGAGATTTTGTTGGATAGGAGATACAGACAATTTGCTTTTAAGCAACTTAAGGACATGCACACACAAAAACTGCATTCACTGATTGCATATAGACAATTTACTCCAAATGCAAATTTATAGAAACATTTATCTAGACATGTACTCCTGCTACTCAGACACAAAGAGAGTCCTATATTCCCCACCCCCTGACACAAACACCTACATAACCATTACCCCCCACTACCTGGAGAGAGAAAAAAAATATAACATACAAATTTAAATTAAGGAACGCAAACACCAATTCTTTGTTGAAATTTAATTTATATGGAATTCTTTAAAGAGATCTGCATGAATTCTCCACAGAAAGAAACTTGTAGACATACTAATTCCTGAATTTAAAATCAAAGATACACAAATGCAAAAAATCAAAGCTGTTTCTCTGCTAACACGAAGCTAATTCAAAAAATACATTTCAATTAATACATAATTCATTTCAACATAAATATAGCTACTTACAATTTCCTTCTCCTCATATAAAATGCAACATTTTAATAGATAATCTGTTAGTGTTATATTTATCATTAAAATAAAGAGCGTAATTTAAAATTTACCCATAATTTTTAAATGCCTTTTAAGATGTAGGTGTTCATGGCTCTCTAGATTTTTTCATTTGTGAATTGGCATGATTTTTATGGCATTCAGAGTAGTCATTCACTTAGACTGGTTGATAACCAAGGCTAGAGAGAGAGAGAAAATGAGAGCAAGAGAGAGACAGAGAATTGGAGCAAGAGAGAGAAAGAGAATCAGAGAGAGAAAGAGAGAGAGAATCAGAGATAGAAAGAGAGAGAGAGAGAGAGAAATAGAGGGAACGAGACTCAGTGTCAACCATTGCAATATTCAAATTCCCTGATGTTTTTCTGAATATAAACTACAACAAATCATCCAAGCATCTAAACGGATAGAATGTAATCTAACAATTTATTAATATTCTGATAATAAATCAGGAAAACAATTAAAACTAAGTTATCCTGATTGCAATTAAGTGCTGAGGAAATCAAATGATTGATGAAGATCAAGATGACATCTGGAATAAATTACTGTTTAAAAGATTTCAGTGTAATATTGAAAGAATGAAGGAAGTAAAAACAGACTTTATATTCAACAATTTACTGAACATAAAAAGACTATTTATAAAATAATTAGTTTATTTCTTCATATGTTTATTTGAAAATAATGACAATTGTTATTAAATAAATTCTAAACTTACAGAAAAATAAGTTTAACAACTGACTGAAAAATGTACTTGTTTAGATGATGTGTTTTTAACTAGTGAAACGAGTACATTTGGGTTTTGTTACAAGAGAATAATTGGTGGTGGAAAATATTTATTTAACAGTAAATAGACTGAACCATGGAAGCTCATTCACAGAGATTAATAACTGCATTTAATTAAAACTGAATGTTTCATTATTTATCTTTCTGGATTCAAATTTGGTACAATGTGAAAACTATCCTCAGATGGGTTGTGAAGAGAAACAAATGTGAAGATAATAATAAAAAAATAAAAATAAATGAATTTTGAACATTTAGCATTTTTAATGTTTTTTTTTTTTAACATTTAGCATTTTTAATGTTTTTTTTTTTAACATTTAGCATTTTTAATGTTTTTTTTTTTAACATTTAGCATTTTTAATGTGTTTTTTTTTAACATTTAGCATTTTTAATGTGTTTTTTTTAACATTTAGCATTTTTAATGTGTTTTTTTTAACATTTAGCATTTTTAATGTTTTTTTTAAACATTTAGCATTTTTAATATTTTTTTTAACATTTAGCATTTTTAATGTGTTTTTTTTTAAACATTTAGCATTTTTAATGTGTTTTTTAACATTTAGCATTTTTAATGTGTTTTTTTAAACATTTAGCATTTTTAATGTTTTTTTTAAACATTTAGCATTTTTAATGTGTTTTTTTTAAACATTTAGCATTTTTAATGTGTTTTTTTTAAACATTTAGCATTTTTAATGTGTTTTTTTTAAACATTTAGCATTTTTAATGTGTTTTTTTTAAACATTTAGCATTTTTAATGTGTTTTTTTTAAACATTTAGCATTTTTAATGATTTTTTTAAACATTTAGCATTTTTAATGAGTTTTTTTTTAAACATTTAGCATTTTTAATGAGTTTTTTAAAAAACATTTTTCTGTTGCAGCATTTAAAGGTCATCATAGTAACAATCTTTTGTTAATAGTGTCAGATTTTCTTTGAAAAATATTTTCCGATTTTTTTGTAGAATTAATAATTGAAGAAAATCATTTTTTTTAGAAATTAATAAAACTCATAACATATTCTCATTCATCAAAATTGCACAATAAGTAAATCTGGTTTTGTAATAGAAGTTATTTTGTACTATTCACAAATATTTTGATATCCCCCAGAATCAATTGGACATAGAATTATTTTTGTGATCAGACTGTCCTTTTATCACCTTTTAAAACTTTGTTTTAAGTCTTGTTTGTAAAAGTGACAAAATTACATTTTCTGGGATATTCTTTCAAGAATGATATGTAAATGAAAATAGATTTTCTACTTTTTAATATAAAGATTATCTACCAAAGACTAAATATTCTTTAACTTAATATTGTCAAAAGAATGACAGACATTCTTGTGGAATGATAAAATTTAGAAATTAAAATTGTTTTCATTAAAAAAAAAAAAAAAAAAAAAAAAAAAATCAAATGTTAACAAAAACATGAATTAAACCTACTAATTTAATGTCCACTTACATATGTGGGGGCAGTTCGTATATATTCCGACATCGGTATTCCTCCACAACATGATGAGAATAGAGTGGTAACTTTCTGTAAGGATTCACAGAAACTACCACATTTCCAATATAAGTCTGAAAGAAAGAAAAATAGAAATAACTTTAAAATAAAAACTATTTTGGTTCATTTTAACAGTCACGGTCTGTGATAAAAATTATTTTGAAGAAAAGAAAAATGTTACAGAAAAAAACTTTGATAAAGAAAGATAAAAATTTATTGCAAAGAATATTTTCTGTAGCCGAACGACATCAGTGGGACATTGCATTATTCATTTGTTCATACTTCTATACTGCTGTCTGTCCCCTCAAGTGTTTACATTGTACCAAGAGAATTCGACTCAAACACTCCACATGCACATTGTGAACAATGCTTTGGAGACATAAACCGAAAATAAGTTTTAGTCTAAGTAATTTAAAAAAAAAAAAAAAACAGAAAAGATCAATACTTGCAGGTAAACTTAGAATTAAATTAAATTGACGATTTAACCCTTCCTATTTTCCTTCTACAAATTCAAATTTATTTTGACAGTTTTTAGTTATCATTTGACTGAAGAAATTCTAGGCTATGTTTTTATTTTTGAACCATGAACTCTTTGACCTGATTCTTCAAAGATGACTCTACAAGAGAATTTCTCTAAATCTTCTGCTAAAAACAAAAAGGCATTTTTATATTGTATTCAACAATGCAAAGATTGTGAATATATCCAAGACAATGTTTTCTTTAAATTTGATGATTGTTGATAAATGCTGTTTATGAAGAATTAGAAGTTATGAAATGATTGAGAAATCTGCAGCCTTTAAAATCTGTTGCTAAAATGATTGGCCAAGTGAGTGAATGACAGCCATTGTTGGGACTTTGGAAAATTTATAATATTTTCTCTGACACTACTAAATTGATTTTCAAGAATTCTGATTATCTAAATATTTAATTTACAAAAAAAAAAAAAAAAAAATCAAAAACCTAGCAATACAGTTCAAGGTTTATTAATGCAATTAAATTTGACATCAAGATTCTGTTTTATTTTTTTTTAATGCTTTAAAATTTTTGTCAATTTCAAGTTTATCAATTTTCAAAAGTCAACGGACATTTTCTGTTGTGTTATATTTGATTCATAATCAACGTTTCTGGCAGAAAGAAAATTTCTCTTTTGTTGCACAAATTATTTGAAAAATTTATATATTAAAATTTAAAAAAAAAAAATTTGCCAGTGTCAATGCACTTGATAATTGGCAACCATAGAGAAACAAAGAAATGCATTTATAATAAAACATGGAACTTTTAAAGCAATATAAACATTTATATTGTTTTGAAATAAAGTTATAGTTATATGTCACAACCATCAATCCATTAAGATTGTAGACACACTTCATAGTACTGCAGCTATAACAGCAATGGGTGTGTCTAGAGAAAGCTAACCTGACAGAGACCACCACCCTACTTTAGGCTGGTTTTGAATTCGGAGTTACCTTTCTCCTGCGAAGGCATGGTGGAGTAATGGATAGCAGCTCGGATTGATTAATCAGAAAGCCGAGTTTGAATTCCATTTAAATCCATTACATTTACTTACGTGCTAATACCCTTAGGAAAGGTATAAATCCTCCTCTTCTCCCCCCAGCTATGGGTAAATAGCAGGAGAAACCAGGTTCTATAGCCTTGGATGGCAACTGGTCTACCACAGAAAGAAATGGCAACCTACAGCAGGAAAAAATCTGCCTCATCAGTCATGTATCAAAAGATACATGATCGCTTAAGTGTGTATCACGCATGGCACATAACTGAGTGACTGACTTTCTCCTAGACTAGTTTGCCACCTAGAGCTACAGAACCCATAGAAAAAAAAAGACAGGTTCATGCCTTTCTCAAGGACATCTGCACAAAAGTGAATGCAATGAACTAGACAAGAATTTGAACTCAGTTCACTAATTCCACTTCCCATGTAGATATCCCCACCCCAAAAAATGATTTTGAACATTCACTTGTGATATTTAACTATTGAACATTAAAATATCTCACTTGAATCAGTAAAAGAAGAAAATATATACTTCTTTTAAGATGTTGAAAAACAATAAGCAAGAACAAAGCATTTAAAGCCATTGATGATTTGACGATGGTTACACAAGTTGCTTTGGTCTGAAATAAATATTTTCTTCCTGTTAAATATATTTATAGTAACAACTCCCAGAGAGAAATGAGAATGAAACTACCAATTCCTTACTTTCTAGTCTGCTGCTATATTAATGATAAATTGTGATATTAACCATTTTCTTATAAGGAAAAAAAAATGGCATTCATTGACTGAGCAGCCAGTTTAACTTTTGGTAGAAATTTATAAAATCTTTCTAGTCAAACAATTATTCAGGAAAATATTTCAAGTTCACAAACTGCTCTTTCTAGTATTGATGGGAATTTCCTCCCTAACATTTTGTTTGAAGTAGTTTGAAGCCTCAGCATATGGATTTGGTCATCATTCTGTCCAAGTTACATGGGCCAAGTTCAAAGCAATATGTAATTCTAGTTAAGCACATGATAAGTAATGAAAGCATGCATTTCCCATTGACTATGATCCTGACTACGGTCAACTATGTTTGTGATTCTGTCATGCTAGTTCACAAAGTTCAAAGAAGAATAGTCCTTGCTAAGACCTACAGGCTTCATTCATTCTAAGCCATTTGTAAACTTCAATTGGAAAATGCAGTTGTATATAGCAGACAATTTAGATATCTCTAAATAAGTTTGGTGCTAAGCATTACATCCATATGAAAGTCTCAATCTGACAAGGCTATTTAAGAACAGAACATGAATATTTTTAAGTTAATGTTTTAAAAATTATGACAGCTTTTGTTATCATATTATGAAATGGAGAATCTGGATTTTGTAAGTACCAAACTATTCAAGGAATGTGCAACTTACTTTTTTTTAAGTAAGGTCACATTTACTTATCATCTCTTAGTTGCGTCCGTATTTGGGCAGAGTGTGCTCAGAGGCTTCTCTGTCAAAGGACAGAGGGGCAACTGAGGAAAATTATACTGAAGAGGTGCCCAGCCCTGGGGAACAGCTGCTCGAGG